GTCAACTCCTCGGGTTCCTCCACCTCGGCGACTACGAGGCACCGGACGGTGCGTTGCTCGGGCAGGTCGGCTTGCTCCGGCAAGCTGGGATCCTTCGGCCATGAGGTTGGATCTCCCCTGAGGAAGCCCGGCCCCTGCCACCACAGGGGGTGCTCCGACAGCTCTCGCGGCGAAATCCCTCGGGACGCACAGTCCGCCGGATTCTCTGCCCCCGGTACGTGTCTCCACATCGCGTCTCCTGTTGACCGCTGGATCTCCGCTACCCTGTTTGCCACGTAGGTCGTCCACTTGGCAGGATGGCCACGAATCCAGGCCAACGTGACGGTGGAGTCCGTCCACAAGAACGTGGGAACCGCGTTCATCTCGAGCGACGTCTGTAGGTGCCCGATCAGCTTCGCCAACAGAGACGCGGCGCAGAGCTCCAGCCTCGGCAAGGAGACCCGCTTGAGGGGAGCTACTTTCGTCTTTGCCATCACGATCGAGATGCAGGCTTCGCCGGCGTTAACGACGCGCAAGTAGACGACGGCCGCGCAGGCTCGCTCGGAGGCATCCGAGAAGCCGTGGATCTCGACGGTGTCGGCAGAGGCATTGCAGTGGAACCAGCGCGGAATCTTAATTCCCTCCAGGATCGGGAGCTCCTCCTCCAGTCTGGCCCAAGCGGCAGCCTCCTCCGTGGCCAGAGGGGCATCCCAGTCCAGTTGTTGCAGCCACGTAGTCTGGATGAGGAGCTTCGCCCTGACGACGATCGGTGCCAGCCAACCTAGAGGGTCAAAAAGCCGCGCTGTCTGAGACAGAATCGTGCGCTTTGTTGGAGCGGCGTTGTCCGATCGCCGGACCGTCAAGGACAAGTGATCGTCCTCCGGGCTCCAGCGCAAGCCCAGCACCGAGTGTTCCGCTGTCGGCAGCAACGCGTCCGTCGAACGCAGCTGATGAGCTGGGGGGACGTCCGCAAGGAGTGAAGCGCGATTTGCGGCCCACTTCCTCAGTGGGAAGCCGCCCGCCGTGCATAGCATAGATACCTGATGCCTGAGTTGCCGACAGGTCTCCAGAGTGGCGGCTCCGCCGAGGATGTCATCCATGTAAACGTCCCGCTTAAGTACCTCCGCGCCCAGCGGGAAGCGGTTAGACTCGTCGCTCGCAAGCTGGCGCAATACGCGGAGGGCGAGGTAAGGTGCTCTTGCCAGGCCGTAGGTAACCGTATTCAAGCAATAGTCAGTCGCTTGCTTGCCTTCTGTCCATAGGATTCGTTGCAGGTACCGGTCGTCTGGATGCACTACGATCTGCCGGTACATCTTCTCGATGTCGGCTACGAAGACGTATTAG